ATTTTCCATTCCTAGATTTTCTCCTCTGTTTTTTTTCTCCTATGTTCAACTAAAATCTTTAATGATAAAGTCCATTTGAAAATTTTTAATCTTCTGTATATTTCTGTTTTATATTATGTATTTGAACTTAAAACCTAATTCATGGCCGGGCGCGGTGGCTCAAGCCTGTAATCCCAGCACTTTGGGAGGCCAAGGCGGGTGGATCACGAGGTCAAGAGATCGAGACCATCCTGGTCAACATGGTGAAACCCCGTCTCTACTAAAAATACAAAAAATTAGCTGGGCATGGTGGTGCGTGCTTGTAATCCCAGCTACTCAGGAGGCTGAGGCAGGAGCATTGCCTGAACCCAGGAGGCGGAGGTTGCGGTGAGCCGAGATCGCGCCATTGCACTCCATCCAGCCTGGGTAACAAGAGCAAAACTCTGTCTCAAAAAAAAAAAAAACAAACCTAATTCATCCTTTAGCTTCCTTATTGTAAGGTTAAATAATCCTGATTTACTTACTTAAATATTCCTTTTGAATTTGTTTTCTTTTTAATTACTTTGGCTGTTTTTACTTTTTTTTTTTTTTTTTTTTTACTTTTTCCATATTACTTTATAGTATCTCAAACTGAGCATAGAATTTTAATAATAGTGTAATAGAGCTATTACTTTCTTGCCCTTAGATATATTACATTCTTTAAGCTCTCTATACAGCAACACTGTCCACCTTTGTATGTAGGTGAAATTTACATTTCATTTTTTTAAATGGCCCTAATAATAGTTGAATATGTTAGAAAGTGTAAAAATCATGTACTTTTTTTTGTCTCTATGTGTGTCTATGCTGAGTAACAAATGACATAGAAATGGTATCCAATGTATACAAAATGGATCATGTAGAAAACTGACTCAAAAACTGGCTCCCATTGTTGCAATAGGGCATAATTATTTTATTTTTTTCTTGATATATAGGCTTAAAACTTGGAAGTAATTTTTTAGTAGAGTTTTGCCTCTGGAGGATTTGGTTTGTATATTTGACTTTCTAAATGTTTAAAACATTTAAAAACACAAGACAGTGCTGTTTTTTGATCACAAAAGAGTATGCTATCTTTTGGCATATTCTTTTCCGATGAGATCACTAGTACTCAAGCTCTAGCTTAAGTGAGAAATGTGAAGATGCTGCTTATTGTTATGCCCTGTTTTGAAAAGAATAAAGCAGCCTTTGAATTAAAAGCAGACCATATCCTTAATAGCCCCATGTAGAAGAATGAACCTGAACTCCTATCTCTTACCGTATACAAAATCAACTCAAAATGAATCAAGGACCTAAATGTAAGACCCAAAACTATTAAAATATGAGGGAAAAACCTAGGGAAAGTGCTCCTGGATATTTTTCTAGACAAAGAATTTATGACTAAGACCTCAAAAGCACAGAGAACGAAACCAAAAATAGACAAAAGGGACTTAATTAAAATAAAAAGCTTCTGAACAGCAAAATAAATTATCAAGAGAGTACAGCTACAGTCTCTTCAGTGGGATAAAATATTTGAAAACTATCAATCCAGCAAGGGACTAATATACAGAATATAGGAGGAATTCAAATAATTAAAAAAAAATAAACATTAAAAAGTGGGCAAGGCTGGGCACGGTGGCTCATGCCTATGATCCCAGCACTTTGGGAGGCTGAGGTGGGCAGTACATGAGGTCAGGAGTTTGAGACCAACCTGACCAACATGGTGAAACCCCGTCTCTACTAAAAATACAAAAATCAGCACACACCTATAGTCCCAGCTACTCAGAGGGCTGAGGCAGGAGAATTGCTTGAAACTGAGAGGCGGAAGTTGCAGTGAGCTGAGATTGCACCACTGCATTCCAGTCAGGGTGACAGAGTGAGACTCCATCTCAAAAAAAAAAAGAAAAAAAGTGGGCAAAGGACATGAATAGATATTTCTCAAAAGAAAACATAACAATGGTCAACAGGCATATGAAAAAGTGCTAAACATTGCTCATCATCAGGGAAATGCAAATCAAATCCGCAATGAGATATCAGTTTACCCCAGTCAGAATGGCTGTTATTAAAAAGACAAACAATAACAGATACTAGTGAGGATGCAGAGAAAAGAGAACTCTCACACACTATTGGTAGGAACGTAAACTATGAAAAACACTATGAAATACAGCCACTATGAAAAACAGTATCAATATTTCTCAGAAAATTAAAAATAGAATTATCATTTGATCCAGCAATCCTCTAATGGTTATCTACCCAAAGGAAAAGAAATTAACATATCAAAGTGATACTTGCACTTCCATGATTATTCCTCAGTATTCACAATAGAGAGGATACGGAATCAACCCTAAGGGTCCATCAGTGGATGAATGGATAAAGAAAAGGTAGCATATATACACAATGGAATACTGTTCAGCCATAAAAAGAATGAAATCTTGTTATTTACAGCAACATGGATGGAAATGGAGGTCATTATCTTAAGTGAAATAAGCAAGGCACAAGAAGAAAAATATCACATTCTCACTTATATGTGGGAGCTAAACATTTTGATCACATGCAGGTAGAGAGTAGAAAAATAGATAACAGAGACTGGAAAGGGTGAGTGGTGGGGGGATTGAGGAGGATGAAGAGAGGTGAGTTAAAGGGTACGAAGAAACAGTTAAATAGAAGGAATATATCAATGTTTGATAGGAGACCACAGTTATTATACTTAACATAAATGTATTATACTCAGATGACAAACACCCTAAATACCCTGACTTGACCACTACTCATTATATACATGTAACAAAATTTAACATGCCTCACAAGTATGTACAACTTTTTAAAAGTAAACTACAGCTAGTGCTTGACTTAACGACCATGGTCGGGACTGCGGAACGGTCGTAACACGATTTGGTCGTTAAGTTGAGTAGGCTATATGTACAGTTGAAATGGTGCATGCGGAGATGATAGTGCTGCCAGAAGCTGGTCCACACTGTTTTACACCCAGCTGGGCAACGTTTGTGCTGCCAGACGCAGAGCAGTCATGGCTAGCGATTGTGGTTGTAAAGTCGAATGGTCGTAAGTCGATCAGTACCTGTATATCCTTGATCAGGCATGGTGGCTCACACCTGTTATCCTGGCACTTTGGGAGGCTAAGTCCAGAAGTTCAAAACTAGCCTGGGCAACATAGTGAGACCTTGTTTCTACAAAAAAGTTTTAAAAATTATTCAGGCATGGTGACATACCCTATAGTCCCAGCTCTTTGGGAGGAGTCCTAGTTACTGAGGTGGGAGGATCTCTTGAGCCTGATAGGTGGAAGCTATCGTGAGCTATGATCATGCCACTGCACCCCAGCCTGGGCAACAGAATAAGACCCTTTCTCAGAAAATAAGTAGACCATATCCTTAATCACAATAGCTAAGATATGGAATCAATGTAAGTGTCCGTCAACAGATGAACAGATAAAGATAATTATGATATGTGTACACAATGGAATACTATTCAGCCTTCAAAAAGAAGGAGATCCTGTCATTTGTGACTAAGTGAATGAACCCCGAGGACATCATGCAAAGTGAAATAAGCCAGACACAGAAAGACAAATACCAACTTATATGTGGAATCTAAAAAGTTGAACTCATAGAAGCAGAGAATAGAGTGAGTGGTAGGTAGTTGTGGAGAGAGCACTGGGGAGATGTCTGAAGGATACAAAATTTAAACTAGACAGGAGGAATAAGTTCAAAAGATCTATTGTAAAATGTGGTGACTGTGTTTAATAACAATATATTCTTGAAAATTATTGAGAGAGGCTGGGCATGGTGGATCACACCTATAATCCCAGCACTTTGGGAGGCAAAGGTGAGAGGATCATTTCAGATCAGGAGTTAAAGACCACCCTGGCCAACATGGCAAAACCACGTATCAACTGAAGATACAAAAATTAGCTGGGGGTGTTAGCTACTCAGGAGGCTGAGGCAGGAGAATCACCTGAACCCCAGAAGTGGAGATTGCATTGAGCTGAGATTGTGCCACTGCACTCCAGCCTGGCTGACAGAGCAAGACTCTGTCTCAAAAACAACAAAGGACATGAATAGACATTTCTGACAATTAACAAATTGTTAAGAGAGTAGTGTTCTCGCCACAAAAAATAGTATGTGAGGTAATACAATTAGCTAAATTTAGCCATTTCACAATGTATTACATATATCAAAACAATATGCTGTATGTGATAAATTATACACTTTTGTCAATTAAACAATAATAAAATCGTAAACCATATTCATTCAATGTAAAATAAACATCCATTGTGTCAGAGAGTGTCAGGGCATGGAGATCAGGTGGAACAAATATAAAATGGCCTATCAGAGAGCATAGAATAAGAATAGGTCCACCAAGGAAGGAACGGACTTTGGAATGTGAAAACTTAAATTTCAAGGAGACCCGGCCGGGCGCAGTGGCTCAAGCCTGTAATCCCAGCACTTTGGGAGGCCGAGGCGGGTGGATCATGAGGTCAAGAGATCGAGACCATCCTGGTCAACAAGGTGAAACCCCGTCTCTACTAAAAATACAAAAAGTTAGCTGGGCATGGTGGTGCGAGCCTGTAATCCCAGCTACTCAGGAGGCTGAGACAGGAGAATTGCCTGAACCCAGGAGGCCGAGGTTGCAGTGAGCCGAGATCGCGCCATTGCACTCTAGCCTGGGTAACAAGAGCGAAACTCCGTCTCAAAAAAACAAAAAACAAAAAACAACAACAACAAAAAAATTTCAAGGAGACAACAGACTTAATAGAGCACCTAAATACCTCTGATGTTATATTGATATATTTATGTATATATATAGACACACACACATATATACACACAAATGTGATTTTTATATATAAGATTATTTAAATTTTTATGTTTCCCTTTTGTATGTTTTAGACTCTGATTTGGTCAATTAAACACTTGACCTAATGATAAAATATTACAGTAAATATTCTTGCTGAATTTCTTCTTGTTCAACTTTTCTTTTATGTGCTTTTGTTTTAGCAAACAAAGATCACAAGGAAAAACATTCTCAAATGAGAGAATTTAGAGCACCTCAGTTTTCTAACTCTGAAAATGGTAAGAAATAATCATTTCACTCTATATAAATGATTCTTTAAAATTCTTCAATTTTCATTTAATGTTTATTTCCTTAATGTTAGAAACTGTCTCAGTCTCTACATAAGAATGCAATTACATGCCTCTACTTTGTAGCATATCACAATGGAAATTAAATCTTTGTTCTGTGTGTTTGGGCCCTATCGGAATGTATATAGCCAGGACAGCTAGGGCTGTGTCTGTTTTTCTGTCTCAGGTATCTCAACCACCAGCAGTATAGGCACTGAGTAGATATTTGTTGAATGAATGAATGAAAGTAATTTTTTGTATTATCAGTGTCATTAGATACTAGCAAAATAGTAAATGTCATTCAACATTAAATAAATTAAAATCACTATTTAAGAAACAGAAGTGTGCCCCCAACATTCTAGTTTTCTTACCTATAAAATGAAGATCAAGAGTAAATTAAGGTACTTCCTAAGCATTAAATAACTACCTCGAATATCTTTCTCAAGCAATTTGGCTGTCAGTATTTTCTCCTAGTTTGTCATTTGTCTTGTGACTTTGTTTCTTTAAATTTTTTAAAGTTAAAAATGTTTTTAAAGTTTTAAATACAAGGCCGGGCGCGGTGGCTCAAGCCTGTAATCCCAGCACTTTGGGAGGCCGAGGCGGGTGGATCACAAAGTCGAGAGATCGAGACCATCCTGGTCAACATGGTGAAACCCCGTCTCTACTAAAAATACAAAAAATTAGCTGGGAATGGTGGCACATGCCTGTAATCCCAGCTACTCAGGAGGTTGAGGCAGGAGAATTGCCTGAAACCAGGAGGCGGAGGTTGCGGTGAGCCGAGATCGCGCCATTGCACTCCAGCCTGGGTAACAAGAGCGAAACTCCGTCTCAAAAAAAAAAAAAAAAAAAAAAAAAATTTTAAATACAGTCAAATTTGTTAATCTTTTATTGGATCTGGACTTTAGTCATAGTCAGAAAGCTTTTCTTAAACCCAGATTATAAAAAAATTCTCTTATGCTTTCTTCTGGTATTTATACAGTATTTTTTTTACATTTAGATCTTGAATTCATTTGAAGTTATTTCATGTGTACAGTGTTAGCAACGGATCAAATGTTATCCCCTGCTTTTTTCCCCCCCAAATGGCTATCATATATATATAAAATTTATTTTATTATATATATTTTTATTATATAATATATATATTATATATCTCTCATATATATATATATATATATATATATATATAATTTATTTTATTTTATTTTATTTTATTTTTGAGACAGTCTCGCTCTGTCACCCAGGCTGGAGAGCAGTGGCATGATCTCGGCTCAGTGCAAACTTTGCCTTCTGGGTTCAAGCAATTCTTTTGTCTCAGCCTCCTGAATAGATGGGATTACAGGTGTGTGCCACCATGCCCAGCTTTTTTTTTGTATATTAGTAGAAACAGGGTTTTGTCATGTTGGCCAGGCTGGTCTCAAACTTCTGACCTCAAGTGACCTGCCACCTTGGTCTCCCAAGGTGCTAGGATTACAGGCATGAGCCACCTTGCCCAGCCCACATATATATTTTTTAAATGCCATCTTTGTCCTAGTAATTGGAGGTAACATCTTATATACTATATTTCTGTTTCCACTTGGGTGTATTTCTAGACTTTCTTTATATTTCATTGGTGTATGCATGCAACAGTGCCCCATAGTTTTTTTGTTTGTTTTTTGAGGTGGAGTTTTGCTCTTGTTGCCGAGGATGGAGTGTAGTGGCACGATCTTGGCTCACTGCAGCCTTCGCCTCCTGGGTTCAAGTGATTCTCCTGCATCAGCCTCCCAAGTAGCTCTGATTACAGGCATGCACCACCATGCCTGGCTAATTTTATATTTTTAATAGAAGCAGGGTTTCACCATGTTGCACAGGCTGGTCTTGAACTGCTGGCCTCAAGTGATCTGCCCACCTCTGCCCCTCAAAGTGCTGGGATTACAGGCATGAGCCACCTTGTCCAGCCCACAGAGCTTTAATTATAGAAACTTTCTTGTTGTTTTAATATCTAGTAAGGCTAGAATCCCCCCCTCATTTTTTAAAGATTATTTTCTTAGCTATTTTTGCATGTTTCTTTTTCAATTTGAATATAAAATTGTGGATCTTTATTAAAAAGCTCATTGATACTTTTATTGTAATCACATTAAATGTGAAAACTAACAGGTTGATCATGTTGAGACATCCTAATGAAAAACAAGGGACATCTTTCCATTTGTTAAAGTTTACTTGTATATCTTTCAGAGATTTTTTTTTTTTTGGTATGGGTTTTGGAACATTTCCTGTTAAGTTTATTTCTATGTATTTTATCTTTCTGGTTGCTATTGTAAATGGGTTTCTTTCCCCATTATATATTTTTATTGGTTTTATTTTGTATATATGAATGCTATTCACTTTTGCATGTTAGTTTTATATCCTGGTATATAGCTGAATTCTTTTATTATTTGAGTTGTATCATTTGAAAATAGAGATCATCTTGTTTTTTATTCTTACCAAAGCATAGACTTCTCCTGTGTACATTGGGTACTACCTTCAGAACAATGTTAGCTAGTAGTGAACATTTCCTGGCTTTAGTGGAAATGCCTATAATATTTCTGTACTAAGATGCTGGCTTTGGACCAAGATATATTTCATGATGTTAAAGAAGTATCCATACATACTTATTTTCTCAAGACTTTTTATTAGGAATGGTTGTTGATTTTTTTTTTTTTTTTTTTTTTTTTTTTTGGGAGATGGAGTCTCACTCTGTCACCCAGGCCGGAGTGCAGTGGTGTGATCTTGGCTCACTGCAACCTCTGTCTCCTGGGTTCAAGGGATTCTTGTACCTCAGCCTCCCAAGTAGCTGGGATTACAGGTGCATTAACACCACACCCGAAGAGTTGTTGAATGTTGTTGGCAGCTTTTTCAGTATCTGTGCCAGCAATAAATTTCCTGATATTATATCATCTTTGCATTCGAGTTTTAAGTCCAGCTTTGTCATTTTATACTACTTCACTTGCTAATATTTTACTACTATATTTGCATTCTTTTGGAGATGGAGTTTCTATCTTGTTGCTCAGGCTGGAGTGCAAGGCACGTTCTTGGCTCACTGCAACCTCCATCTCCCATGTTCAAGCAATTCTCCTGCCTCAGCCTCCTGAGTAGCTGGGATTACAGGTACATGCCACCATACCTGGCAAATTTTGTATTTTTAATAGAGACAAGGTTTTACCATGTTGGTCAGGCTGGTCTCAAACTCCTGACTTCAGGTGATCCACCCACCTTAGCCTCCCAAAGTGCTGGGATTACAGGTGTGAGCCACCACGCCCAGCTCTTCTTGTATTTTTTTTTTTTTTTTTTTTTTTAGATGGAGTCTCTGTCACCCAGGCTGGAGTGCAGTGGCATGATCTCTGCTCACTGCAGCCTCCACCTGTTGGGTTCAAGCAATTCTCCCTCTCTTGGCTTCCTGAGTAGGTAGGATTACAGGCACCAGCCACCACACCTGGCTAATTTTTCTTTTTTTTTTTCTTTTCTTTTTTTTTTTTTTTTTTTAGTAGAGACGGAGTTTTGCCATATTGGCCATGCTGATCTTGAACTCCTGACCTCAGGTGATCTGCCTGCCTTGGCCTCCCAAAGTGCTAGGATTACAGGTGTGAGCCACTGCGCCCAGCCTCTTATTCATGTCTTAATCTATGAAAATGTCTAGGTCTGGTGCTTTCTTGTGTGTATGTTTTTTTCTCTGTATATAGAAATTAAATGTCTGTTTAAGCTTTTAATCTGTACTGGGATTGATTTTAGTAAATTATATAAGAAATTATTCATTCTCTAGACTTCTAAATTTATTTGCAATAGAGCTGTTTAAAATTTCTTTTGATTTTTAACAGCTTTATTTAGGTATAATTTAATTACCATAAATTTCACCCATTCTAATTATAACAGTTCATAATTTTTAGTAAATTTAGATTATGCAACCATTACCACAATTGGATATTAGAATGTTTTCATTACCCCCAAATTATTCTCTCACACTTGTTTTAATATCTGATTCACTCCAAGCTGTCAGTAATTAGTAATCTGTTTTTGTCTCTATAAATTTGCCTTTATTCTAGACATTTAATATAAATGAAGCCATGCAAAAAGGTAGTCCTTTATTTCTGGCACCTTCCACTTAATGTTTTTTAGAGTCATTCACGTTGTATATATCAGCAGTTTATTACTTTTTGTTGAGCAATAGTATTCAGTCATTGTATGGATATACCATCTTATGTTTACTTACCAGTAGATGGACATTTAGATTGTTTATAATTTTTGGCTATTAGAATACCACCACTGGACATTCACATACTTCTCTTTGTGTGGGCATACATTGTCATTTTCCTTGGTTAGATTCCCAGGAGTGGAATTGTGAGGTAGTATGGTAAATTTAACTTCTTAAGGAACTGCCAAACTTTTTTCAATATATTGCACCATTTTATTTCCACCAGCAAAATGTGAGGGTTCTAGTTTCTCCACATCTTTGCCAACATTTGGTATTATCTATATTTTATTTTTTTGAGATGGAGTCTCACTCTGTCACCCAGGCTGGAGTGCATTGGCACAATCTCAGCTCACTGCAACCTCCACCTCCTGGTTTCAAGTGATTGAGTCTCTTGCCTCAGCCTCCTGAGTAGCTGGGATTATAGGCATGCACCACCATGCCCAGCTAATTTTTGTATTTTTAGTAGAGAAGGGATTTCGCCATACTGGCCAGGCTGATCTTGAACTCCTGACCTCAAGTTATCCACCTGCCTTGGCCTCCCAAAGTTCTGGAATGACAGGCATCAGCCAGCAGCCACCATGTACAGTATATTTTAATTAATAGTTATTCTACAGCTTTAAAAAAAAAATTTTTTTTTTGAGACAGTTTTGCTCTTGTTGCCCAGGCCTGAGTGCAGTGGCATAATCTCAGCTCACTGCAACCTCTGCCTCCCAGGTTCAAGTGATTCTCCAGCCTTGCCTCCTGAGTAGCTGGGATTACAGGCATGACCCACCATGCCTGGCTAATTTTGTATTTTTAGTAGAGACGGGGTCTCACCATGTTGGCCAGGCTGGTCTCAAATTCCTGACCTCAGGTGATCCACCTGCCTCAGCCTCCCAAAGTGCTGGAATTACAGGCGTGAGTCACTGGGCACAGCTATTCTAGTGCTTTTAATTTGTAGCTTCAATTTCCATTTCTTCAGTGACTGATGGTGTTGAGACTCTTTTTATGTGCTATTGGCCATTCATATATCTTCCTTGTTAACAAATCTATTGCCCATTATTAAATTGGGGTTTATCTTATTTTTTTTCTTTTTCTTTTTTTTTTGAGACGGAGTTTCGCTCTTGTTACTCAGGCTGGAGTGCAATGGCGCGATCTCGGCTCACCGCAACCTCCGCCTCCTGGGTTCAGGCAATTGTCCTGCCTCAGCCTCCTGAGTAGCTGGGATTACAGGCACGCGCCACCATGCCCAGCTAATTTTTTGTATTTTTAGTAGAGACGGGGTTTCACCATGTTGACCAGGATGGTCTCAATCTCTTGACCTCGTGATCCAGCCACCTTGGCCTCCCAAAGTGCTGGGACTATAGGCTTGAGCCACCGCGCCCGGCCTAAATTGGGGTTTTTCTTATTAAGTTGTAAGAGTTTACATATTTTTTGATAAAGTCCTTTATCAGATATATGACTTGTAAGTACTTTGTCCCAGTCTTTTCATTTTCTCAGTTTTGCCTTTGGAAGCACAAAATTTTTAAGTCCAGTTTGTCATTTTTTCTTCTTCCAGCTGATTGCTCTATTGATTTCAGCACTGCCCTGGAGCATAAATTATTCCATACAATATACCAATCAAATTTGGACTCATTTGAACAAACAGTTCTCAAGGTCACTGAAATTTGTGTTGACCCCAGCTGGCTTTTTTCCTGGTTCCTTCAGGCAAAGTAGCTGGCCTACAGTTTAGCCTACATGTTTAATGACACTATGAGTCTTCTCCCAGTTGCCTCTTTGCGACAACCTACACTGTTTTGAGAACATCCTTAGGGTTGAACTTCCTACACTCTGTTGCAAATGAAGTCGGTGCCTTTGGAAAGGGATTAGGAACTATCTGTTTTATGGTCTGCTTCTTCCTCACTCCCCGCAAGGAAAATCTCTGAGTCAGAGCTTAAGCTGGGAGTGGGGATAATGGCATGCTACTTTCTGTGTGTCATCCTTACTCTAAGAGATGAGTGCTAGGTAAGGAGAGTGACAGTAGCCTTAGGTCTTCTTGGCTTGCCTCTTTCTTCATGAAACCACCACTTTACTAGCAGGGTCAAGTGGTTAGGGGCCCTATATTCTCAGGACACCACAACAAACTCGGACTTCCCAACCCATAAATGGGATCTGGGAAGGGGATGGGAGCCTCTATCATCTACTGACTGCACTCACCTCAGCAACAGGTAACTGGGGACAGGATGTGAAATGCTGGCATCCTACTCCTCCTAGGATGCTAGCCCTTCACTGATAGCTGGAGGGAGAAGGAGCCCTGTGTTCTGGCTGTACCAGACAGGAGTGGAATCCCCATCTTGCTAAGTTGGGAAGTGGGAGGATGGGAGTGGTCCTCAGTTCAAATACCACAAACTCTTGCTGTTTTTCTTAAGTTACAGATTTTCTTAAGCAAATATTTATTCATTTGCTGCACATCCCTGGGACCAGTTACAGAGACTTTAAATGCTTGGTTTTTTTTTGAAAAATAAAAGTTATTTTGAAAAATAACCTTCACCAATTATGCTGGGGTGCAGGTCCATGAAGCCCCTCCCTTTCATTTTTATTGCTAAAAGTGTTTGATTTTTCCTTTGTTTATGCCATTTAAGTATTCCATTGTCAAAAGGTAAAATTACAACAAATTTAAAGACCTTAATTGGCTTTTACTTGCAATTCTAGAATCAGGCAACACCCTATTCTATAAAATAGAATGAGTGTTCTGAGGAGGTTGGTTTTATAGACAGAAAAGGATGGAGGAAAGCAGAAACAGAAAACAAAAAGTAGACTGATCATTGCAAAGTTACCTTTCTTGTAACAGTTAAAGCAGAGGGGACTTGGCTATGATGTCTCTCTCCAGATTTCTTGAAAGGCCAGATAACTTAGTTTTCATTTGGTTATGTGGAACTTGGCATTATCGACCCCATTTTGGTTTGATCTGTTGGGTCTAGTATAGGAGCTCAGTCCAAAACAATGGTCTTCTATACATTTTACTTAGCACCATGGATTATGATATGAAATATTTCCCTCATCATTATTTTTCAGAAAGTCTATTCCCTTTTCAACTAAGAGTTGTTTAATAGGTTTTAAAATTTACAGATGGAAGAACCTATTTGTTTTTACAGTTTAATTTTAGAATTCTCTTTTTATTGCATTATGATAAGAGCATGTTGTGTGTAATGTTCCTACTTTAAGAACACAATGATTTTTTGTGTGTGCCTTAGTATAATCAACTTTTGTACATTTTCAGTGTGTGCTCAAGAAGAATGTTTCTATTACCAAGGTTGGTGTATATCCAAAATAACTACATTATTGATTATGCTCTTTAATCTCTTGTCCTCTTGGCCTGTTTTTTAAGTCAGAATGGTGTATTAAAGTCTCGTATTATTAATTTGTTTCTATGTCTTTTTGCATCTCCTTTTTGCATTTCTGACTTAGGTGGTAGCTTAATTGTTTCATAGCTAGCTATTCATAACTTACATCTTCATTGTGAAATGTGGCCATTTTGGCCTAAATCCTGCCTAATTAGAAATAGTTTCACATAAATTTGCAGTCAATTTAGTTCTTCACTTAAAATTATGTTAATATAGTATAAAAACAGTGAAACAAATTTGATTCGTCCTATGCCTTACTCTCATTTCCTAAAATCAAGAAAGACTTTGTTTTTATTTACACTCAGTAGTCGCAAAAGATCTACCTGTGGATTCACTGGAAGGAGAAGATTTTGAGAAGGAATTCTCATTTCTGAACAACCTCCTAAGTTCTGGTTCTTCAAGTACTAGTGAATTTACCCAAGAATGCCAGACTGCCTTTTGGAGCCCCAGTGCCAGTCTCCCGTCCCAAGAGCCTTCCATGGGGTCTGAACCCCTCGTTCATTCTTCTCAATTCCTTCCTTCACAACTCTTTGACCTTGGCTTTCATGCGGCTGGAGCGTTCAACGGTAAGTGTCTATGAAACATTTGGACACATGAGCTTTACTTTATGAGCAAAACTGTGTGCTTATTGATGCTAGAATCAGTAAGATTGATTTTAATGTCAGCACTATTAGATAAAATCTGCAGTCCACCAATCAACTGGAAAAACATTAGTCGTCTCTGGAATGTGTCAACAGACTGAGGCAAGGGCCGCTTCCCTCGCACCTTCACCAGACCCCATGTTTTCTTCACTGATTTTCCCAGGTGTCAGGTTTAAAACACTTGACCTGCTAATTACTTGTACCTAGGGCAGGCAATACTGTTTCTTCCATCAAGTAAAACTTGGTGTGTTCAGAGTTAACAAGACAAAGGAACAGCTCTGGAGGCTGGTTCCAGGACAGCCTTCTGGGCAAGGCAGCAGGAGAGAGTCCACCATCCTGTGTCCAATCCTGCACCTTGGGGGTCACTTTGTTTCCCACATCCATATTGGTTACCAAATCCTGTCAGTTCTGTTTCTGAAACCTATCTTAAATGTCCCACTATTCTCTGCCTCCACACCAGAGCCATTTAGAGCCTCATTTGGTTTCCTAGGTTACTGTGAGTTTCTAACAGGTCTCCGACTCCCGGTTCACCCTCCACACTTCCGTGGAGTTCTCTCTCCAAGCAGCAGATTCTGATGTCAGTACCAGCTTATACTTTTTAAAATGAAACACTATAGTTTCCAGGATAAAACCTGCCTATGTTGCATTTCCACCCATAATTCCTATCTCCTCTTAAAGTGAAGTAAGAATACTTGCCATTTTCTGCCATCACATTGAGTGCTCCAAAGCCCTCTGATGCATCTATCTGTGCTTGTGTTGTTGCTTGTGCTTTTGATGTTCAGTAATGGAACCTGGATGTGGGCCTGAGTATTAGATCCCAATCCAGTATTTTTTCTGTGATTGTCAGTCCTTGAAGTCTTCCACAGTGCTGCCAAATGGAAATGGTTTCTCCTTCCTCTGGCCTCCCATGGTGCTTTGCTTTATCTATTTTCATGGCTCTATCCTACTTTATCTTGCCTTACATCCCAGTCTCTCACATACCAGTAGATTTTAACCCCTGGATGGGGGGGATCCCACACGGCATCTAGCAGTGTCTTAATGCATTGTACTTTGTATTAAATATTGACATACATACTTTATCTACAAGCATCCCAAGGCATGACATGCAGAGTGAGTCATCTTTGTGCTATCTCTGACAGCAGCATGCAGTTAGCTCAGTTAATAAACTAAATGTCGGCTGGGATTATGCCTGTAATCCCAGCACTTTGGGAGGCCAAGGCGGGCGGATCTCAAGGTCAAGAGATCAAGACCATCTGGCCAACATCGTGAAACCCCATCTCTACTAAAAATAGAAACATTAGCTGGGTGTGGTGGCATGTGCCTGTAGTCCCAGCTACTTGGGAGACTGAGGCAGGAGAATCGCTTGAATCTAGGAGGCGGAGGTTGCAGTGAGCCGAGATCGTGCCACTGCACTCCAGCCTGGAGACAGGGTGAGACTCTGTCCCAAAACAAAAACAAAAAACCTAAATGTCAGTTAAATCACTCAGTAAGAATTTATTGAATAGACTAACAGTAAAAATGGACAATATTATTTGATAAAGAGTCACTCTATCTGGGATAATTCAGGTATTTTGCTACAGTAAAATCTTTAAAAATATTTATTCTTGTGTGGCATATCAATGGCCTAGTAGCTATAAAGATTTACAAACTGATTCCTTCTCCACTATCACCTCCTCCCTCTTCATCCATAACTTCCCACGTCTCTAGCAGTGCTAAACTTTTAGTTTCTGGCAGTGTAATATCAAGATTATATTTTCACCACTCAAAATATGTGCTCTGATCCCTACCTGCAGACAGACAGGATATTCCCATTTAGTAGTTGAAGCAGTTGAAACCCACAGTTTTTGAGTAACTTTCTCAAGGTCATCAGACAGTTTAAATAGGTAAGTCAGGACCAAAATCTGCCTCCTGCTTCTTTGTACAGAACTCTACCAGTCTTTCCTTTATATCTACTTCTCTCACCTATGAAGTAGACCAGAGAAGTGAGCTTTCCTGAGAGCTAAAAGATCTATGTTTGAGGAACCTTATCTATGTTGGGCCTCAGATGATCTTTTCTATACAAGGAAGGGATTAGGCAGGATAATCTAAATTCCTTTCTAGTGCTGTACCTTAATCATAGCATAAATGGTTTTCATGTTGTAGCAAACATTTTTTCATGTTCTCATAGGGTATTTATGACATGTTTTAATTACAAAGAATTGTCATTTTATACACAATCTACTTGATTCCTTATTGTTTCTACGTGTTCATTAATACAGATAATACTGCAAAAAAAAAAATCATGCATGTACTTTTCCTTTAGCTAAATTATTTCCTTAAGATAAATTTCTGGGAATTGGATCGCTGAGTCCAAGGGTATAAACATATTTATAGGTTTAAACATTCCAATTATCAGGCCTGTTCCTTTTTTTGACTCTTTAGAACTTCTTCCTATATAGTCTGCATTTCAATTATTTTTTTTAAATCCCGTATATTTATTTCAAAACCACTTTGAAAAATATAAGGAAGTCAGATCCAACTCTTTCTGAAACTAAGATGATTAAAATATAAGACTATAGATAAATTTTCAGTGTTTTATACGTCTTATACTATAGAATCTTACCCAGGTACAAAGACTGGAGGGCTTAGATATTTTTACCTTTTCTTGCTTTTCTGATGCTTCTTCCTATTTGATTAACAATGGACAATTTTTACTTCCTTTCTCTAGGCTGGGTCTCCCAAGAGGAATCAGAGTTTCGTCTTTCTGATAGCCAGCCAGTGCCTTCACAGAGTCCAAAGAAATTAATGAGATGTAAGTTATTTACATATTCTTTACCATTGCTTTAAGAATCAGTTGAATTCAAATAAATTTACAAAAGGATCACATTATATTGTTTTCACCTCACTGTCCAGAAAAATAGTTTAATAATGCGTTATTATTCAAATGAAACCTGTGTTGCCTATCCCTCACTGTGAAAAGCATTGAATAGAAATTGTGAGCTTGGGGCCAGGCACAGTGGTTTATGCCTGTAATCCTAGACTTTGGGAGGCCGAGGTGGGCAGACTGCCTCATGTTAGGAGTTGGAGACCAGCCTGGGCAATATGGTGAAACCCTGTCTCTACTAAAATACAAAAACAAAAAAATTGCCGGGCACAGCTGCTCACACTTATAATCCCAACACTTTGGGAGGCTGAGGCAGGTGGATCACTTGAGGTCAGGAGTTTGAGATCAGCCTGGCCAACATGGTGAAACCCCATCTCTATTAAAAATACAAAAATTGGCCAGGCATGGTGGTGCGTGCCTGTAATCCAAGCTACTCAGGAAGCTGAGGCAGGAGAATCGCTTGAACCTGGGAGGCAGAAGTTACAGTAAGCCAAGATCATGCCACTGCACTCACTCTAGCCTGGGTAACAGAGCAAGACTCCTGTCTCCACCAAAAAAATAAAAATAAAAATAAAAAAAAAAAGGAAAAGAAAGAAACTGTGAGCTACATTTTGTACTGTAATCTTTTATAGTTTGTGTTAAGGTTTGTTGGTAATGAATATAAACTTAGGGATACAAGATGCTTTCTGATTACATGATGCCTGTTGACAAAGAATGCATTCAAGCACTTAAGTTGGTTACCATATTAACCATTTTTAAGTGTACAGTTCAGTAGTATTAAGCATGTTCATACTGCTATGAAACAGATCTTCAGAACTTTTTCATCTTGTAAATCTGTAACTATACCCATTAAACAACCCCTTCTCCTAATTCCATAGTAACAACCATTCCACTTTGTCTGAGTTTGATTACTTTAGATAGCCCATACGACTGGAATAATGCAGTTTTTTGTGACTGGCATATTTCATTTAGCATAATGTCCTCAAGGTTCATCCTGCAGCAAGTGACTAGATTTCCTTCCTTTTTAAGACTAATACTCCATTTGGTAGGTATAACACAATTGGTTATCTATTCATCCATGGATCACATTTTTTATAAACAGCCTATTGAGATATAATTCACTCCCTCTACTGGTCTTCAATACTCTGCTGTAAACAAGAGTTCTCTCTTATCCTCATTTATCTATTATCGATATAGATTCATATATTTTCTTTTGTTTTGTTTTTTTGGAGACCGTCGCCCAGGCTGGAGTGCAATGGTGCGATCTCGGCTCACTGCATCCTCTGCCTCCCAGGTTCAAGCAATTCTCCAGCCTCATGCCTCCACTGCAGATGTGTACCACCACACCTGGATAATTTTTGTATTTGTATTAGAGATGGGGTTTCACTGTGTTGGCCAGCCTGGTCTCGTACTCCTGACCTCAAGTGATCCAACCATTTCAGCCTCCCAAAGTGTGGGGGTTACAGGCATGAGTCACTGGACCTGGCCTGATTCTTTGGTTTATAATCACCAGTGGTTTTATAATCACCAGTGGTTTTAAAATATTCTTTGGTTCAGTGGTTTATAATCACCACTGAACTTACTGATTTTGGTGCTAACATTGTTCCTGTGTTGGCCAGTGGGATCCCTTTCAGGCTGACTTCGGAATCCTTGTCATACCAATATTTTTAAATTTTGAAATAATTTCAGACATATAGAAAGACTACAGAAGTTAATACAAAATACTACCATACCTTCTTCACTTAGGTTTCCAAAATGTTACCATGTTTGCTTTACATTCATATTCTGTCTCTTCCTCACCCCCCATTATATCATATAAATTTATTCTGAACTGAAATAGTTTAAGTAGCAGACATGATGCCCCTTTGCCACTAACTATTCATTGTCTGTTTCCTAAAAACAAGGGAATTCTTTTGCATAATTACAGTACAACAGTCAAAATCAGGAAATTAACGTTGCCATACGACCATTATCTACTGTAGACCTTTTCAGAGTTTGTCAATTATCCCACTGAAGTCTCAGTTTTGTTTTTAGTTTTTCATAGTCTAGGATCCAAGGCAGTATCACCCACTGCATTTAGTTAAGTCTGTTTAGTCTCTTTTAATCTGGAACAGTTCCTCAATCTTTGTCTCATGACCTTGACATTTTGCAGTGTACAGGTCTTTTATTTTGAACATTCCTTGAATTTGGATTTAGTTGATGTTTTTTCACAATTACACTGAGGTTATGCATTTTGGCAGTGCCACTGGTGCAGGAATGGCGATGTCCCTTCTTAGTAAATCCTATCAGGAGGTGCATATCTATTTTGTTTCACTCCTGGTGATGTTAGCCTTGATCATTTGGTTATGGTGGTGTCAGCATGTTTCTCCACTACAAAGTTAGTACAGTTATTGATCGACTTACGACCTATGCAACTTACGACCATTCGACTTTACAACCACAATCGCTAGCCACGACTGCTCTGCGTCTGGCAGCACAAACGTTGCCCAGCTGGGCGTACGACAGTGCGGACCAGCTTCCGCCAGCACTACCATCTCCATGTGCACCATTTCAACTGTTATCCCAGACTCGGTACAGCAATTTGTGTTTTGTGTCTTGGATATTTTTCATCAAACCCCTCCCAAGATGTCTACCAAGAAGAAACTGTCTTTGTCTACGCCTCAGCCTGCCAAGAAGGAAAGAAAGGCCATCGATCTCGACACGAAAACGAAGGTAATTAAGCAGTATGAAGGACGAAAGAAAGTGAATGTGATCACACGTGATATGAAGTTATCACACTCGACTGTGTCGACAATTTTGAAAGACAAAGAATTCGTGAAGCTGTGAAAGGTTCTGCACCTATGCAATCAACAGTTATTAACAAAGCAACGAAGCGGGCCCATCCACGAAATGGAGAAATTGCTATATACATTTGGATGGAAGATCAAATTCAAAAACGGACACCATTAAGTCTTTTTACTGTGCAGATGAAGGTGAGAAGTCTATTTCCAACTCTGAAGGAGTGTGCTGGAGAAGATTACAGTCAAGAATTTGTAGCAAGCACTGGCTGGTTCCAGAGAGTCAAGAAAAGATTCCAAATGCATAGTGTTCGAGTGACTGGAGAAGCAGCGAGTGCGGATGAGGAAGGAGCACGTAAGTTTGTTGATAGTCTGGATGAATTAATTACAGATGAGGGATATCTAGCAGAACAGATTTTCAATGTTGATGAACTTACAAATGAAGAGCTAATCGAACTGGAAGAAGAAAGTGGCGGAAGAAGAAAGAAGAGAAGCAGAGAAAGAAGAGGAGGAGCCAGAAAGAAAGTTCACCACTAAGGGATTATCAGACGGTTTATCTTTACTGAATAAACTTCTTAAACATTTCGAAGCAATGGACCCAAACATCGAACAATTTGCAAGGATTGAACGGATGGCGCACGATGTGTTTCGTCCATATTGTGAAATTTATGAAGAAAAAAAGAAACATACAATTCAGACAAAGCTCACCATGTTATGAAAAAACCAACTCCAGTAACCCCAACTGCTGCCTCAGATGACGACATCAACGATCCCCAGCCAAGCACCTGCGGCCAATAAAATGTTTCGTACATGTTTATATATTTTGATATGTTTTGCAATTGGGAAAATGTTTCCTGTGGTATTTTTTATACCTGTATTTTCTATTTTTGTATGCACCTGTATTTTGTAATTTTGTATGTTTTGCAAATAATATTAAACCAGTTGTACTGGTAATGCAGTGTTTTACTTAAACCTGACGAATGTAAAAATATAATAAGAAACAAAATGGTGTATAGATGATACAAATGGCATAAAATGAACAAAGAAAATTATGATATATAACAATGAAAGAAAATTATGATAAAATATGACTTAAAGATTTTTATAACATCATTTCACAGTACTGTACATATAGCCTACTTAACTTATGACCAGATTGTGTTACCAGTCTGTCAGAACCAATCGTGGTCGTTAAGTCGAGCACTAGCTGTACTGTGTTTTTCCCTTTGTAATTAGTGTCTTGTGGGAAGTGTTTCGAAATATTGTAAATTGTTTATTTTTACTGAAGTTTTGCCCACATTTAGCATTTATGATAATTCTTGCATGAAACATATTACTATGGTTGCTGCCAAATGGCAATTTTCTAACTCCTTCTGTATTTACAAGTTAGTGTTCTACTGTATGGGAAAGCTTTCCCTTGTTCCCTACTTATTTACTTATTCATTGATATCTACCAGTATGGACTCCTGAAATCTATTTTATTCTTCCCAGTACTTTGTGAGGTCAGCTAGTAGGGGAATTCCTCAATTCTAAGCAACTCACAGATTTACACTGGCAGGTTCAGAATACAGCCATTCCTCAGGGATTCAGAGTACTTACAGTTGTTACACTTTTTAAAAACCAGCTAAGGCCAAGCATAGTGGCTCATGCCTGTAATCCCAGCACTTTGGGAGGACAAGGCAGGTGATTACTATGTCAGGAGTTTGAATAAAAATGCAAATATTAGCCAAATGTGGTGCTGTACACCTGTAGTCCCAGCTCTTCAGGGGGCGGAGGCAGGCGAATTGCTTGAAACCAGGAGACAGAGGTTGCAGTGAGCCAAGATCACACCACTGCACTCCACCCTGGGCAACAAAGTGAGACTCCATCTCAAAAAAATAAAAAGCAAAAAACAAACAAACAACAAAAAAAAACAACCAGCTAAAACAAGTTGTGCTTAATCATTTAAAAAGACACTATAAGTAAATTTCAGAAATGAACACAAAAAAGCAAAGGCACTATTACCTGTAATTCTTGAGGCTGACTTTTGAAGAGAAATTTAGGGAAAAAAGAAGAGCTCTCACCAAGAAGGTCCAATAAAACTAAACTTAAAAATTCTAACAAATTTGAATTTTTTTTTTTTTTGAGACAGAGTCATGCTCTGTCACCCAGGCTGGAGTGCAGTGGCACAATCTAGGTTCCCTGCAACCTCCACCTCCCGGATTCAAGCAATTCTCCTGCCTCAGCCTCCTCTAAGTAGCTGGGACTACAGGCACACCATGATACCTGGGAGCAATAATTTTTGTATTTTTTGGTAGAGACGGATATTCACCATGTTGTCCAGGCTGGTCTCAAACTTCTGACCTCAAGTGATCCACCTGCCTTGGCCTCCTAAAGTGCTGGGATTACAGAGGTGAATGACTATGTTAAAATAAAAAATTTTAACAGCTTTAAAATTTTTTTGGCCAGGCACCTTGACTCACGCATGTAATCCCAGCACTTTGGGAGGCTGAGGCAGGTGAGTCACAAGATAAGGAGTTCGAGACCAGCCTGGCCTAGATGGTGAAACCCCATCTCTACTAAAAATACAAAAATTACCTGGTACAGTGGCAGGTGCCTGCAATCCCAGCTATTCAGAAGGCTGGGGCACTTGAACCCGGGAGGTGGAGGTTGCAGTGACCCAAGATCGAGCTCCAGCCTGGGCAACAGAGAGACTCCATCTAAAACACACAAAAAATTATTTCATTAAGAGCCCCACTTCATTAGTCATTAAGGAAGTACAAATTAAAAGGAAAATGTAATCCAAGACCTACCTACTGCAATGGCTAAAATGAAACAGAAAAGAACATCTGTAATTGACAAAAAGATGTTAACTAGAATCTCAGAGAAAGATCCAAGATGGCCGATTAGCAGTAGCTCAGGATTGCAGCTCCCAGTGAAGGTGCAGGGAGTGAGTGGACGCCAGACTTCCAGACGAATTTTTGTTGCCTACGGACCAGGAGATTCCCAGCAGAGGAGCCCCACGGGTCGCCAGCACAACTCTTTTGGTCGGCGCGGCTGTTTTGCCGGTGTCCTGGCACAGCAGTTCTCAGTGCAGAGTATGCGGGACTGGATGCCCATTTAGTTGGTGTTTGGAGCTCTGGGAAGGCAGAGTCGCCCATTCAGCTGATTGAAAAGGGGACTGAAGCCAGTAGCTAAACCGGGAGATTCCTGGACAGAAAAGTGCCACGAATCTCAGAGCCACTGTTTTAGCCAGTGCTGCAAAGGTGCCGTTGCCACATGGGAAATTGCGTAGATCCCGGCGCCTTTTTGGCGGGCGACTGGGGCACCTGGGAGAGAATCGACTGTTCAACTAGGAAAAGAAAAAAAGGGGACTCTGAGGCGGGGAGCCAGGTGATCGGGCTTGGCTGGTCCCACCCCGCCCCCCCACCAAAAAAAAAAAAACAGCAATTGGAAACGCTGATGGTTAAGAGTTTCACAGCAAGCACAGCTGAACCCGGGAAGGTCCAGCTCTGTGGGGGAGGGGCATCCACAGAAGGAAAACAAAGAAACAGAAATAACATCACCACCAACAAGCTGGACATCCACTCAGACCCAGTCTGAAAGTCAGCAATTACAAAGACGACAGGTGGATAAATCCACAAAGGTGGGAAGAAACCAGCGCAAAAAGGCTGAAAACATCCGAAATCAGAATGCCTCTCCTCCTTCAGGGGATCACAGCTCCTCATCAGCAAGGGAACAACGCCTAATGGAGAATGAGTGTGATGAATTGTCAAAATCAGGCTTCAGAAGGTGGATAATAAGAAACTTCTGTGAGCTAAAAGAACATGTTCTAACCCAATGCAAAGAAACTAAGAACCTTGAAAAAAGGTTTGACGAAATGCTAACGAGAATAGACAATTTAGAGAGGAATATAAATGAATTAAGGGAGCTGAAAAACACAAAACAAGAACTTCACAAAGTATGCACAAGTTTTAACAGTTGAATTGATCAAGCAGAAGAAAGGATATCAGAGGTCGAAGACCAACTCAATGAAATAAAACAAGAAGACAGGATTAGAGAAAAAAGGGTAAAAAGGAATGAGGAAAGTCTCCAAGAAATATGGGACTATGTGAAAAGACCTAATCTACGTTTGATAGGTGTACCTGAATGTGACGAAGAGAGTGAACCCAAGCTGAAAAATATTCTTCAGGTTATTTTTCAGGAAGACTTTCCCAACCTAGTAAGGCAGGACAATATTCAACTCCAGCTAATACATAGACCACCACAAAGATATTCCTCAAGAAGAGCAACCCCAATGCACATAAATGTCAGATTCACCAGGGTTGAAATGGAGGAGAAAATGCTAAGGGCAGCCAGAGAGAAAGGTCAGGTTACCCACAGAGGGAAGCTCATCAGACTCACAGCAGATCTCTCAGCAGAAACCCTACAAGCCAGAAGAGAGTGGGGGCCAATATTCAACATCCTTAAAGAAAAGAACTTTCAACTCAGAATTTCATATCCTGCCAAACTAAGCTTCCTAAGTGAAGGAAAAATAAAATCTTTTGTGAACAAGCAAGTACTCAGAGATTTCATCACCACCAGGCCTGCTTTACAAGAGCTTCTGAAAGAAGCACTACACATAGAAAGGAACAACCCAGTATTAGCCATTCCAAAAATATAACTGAAAGGCAAAGAGCATCAACATAATGAAGAATCTACATCAACTAATGGGCAAAACAGCCAGCTAGCATCAAATGGCAGTATTAAACTCACATATATTATTATTAATCCTAAATTTAAATCGACTAAATGCCCCAATCAAAAGACACAGACAGGCAAATTGGATAAAAAGCCAAAACCCATCGATATGCTGCATCCAGACCCATCTCACATGCAAGGAGACACAAAGACTCAACACAAAGGGATGGAGGAAGATTTACCAACCAAATGGAGAGCAAATAAATAAATAAATAAATAAATAAATAAATAAGCAGGCATTGCAATTCTCGCCTCTGATAAAATAGACTTTAAAGCAACAAAGATCAAAAGAGGCAAAGAAGGATATTACATAATGGTAAAAGGATCAATGCAACAAGAAGAGCTAACGATCCTAAATTTATACACACCCAATACAGAAGCATCCAGATACATAAGGCAAGTTCTTAATGACTTATAAAGAGACTTAGACTCCCACACAATAATAATGGGAGACTTTAACATCACATTGTCAATATTAGACAGATCAACGAGACAGAAAATTAACAAGGATATCCAGGACTTGAACTCAGACCCGGGACAAGTAAACTTAATAAACATTTATAGAACTCTCCACCCCAAATCCACAAAACATACATTCTTACCAGTACCACATCGCACCTACTCTAAAAGTGACTACATAATTGGAAGTAAATCACTCCTCAGTAATTGCATAGCATTTCATAGGTTTAAATGAAATATTGTTTGGCTACTTGTTTGTTATTTTCCTCCCTTATTCATTCCTGTCTCCATTGTTAAGCACAATTATTGGTATAAAAGAGGTTTTCAATACCCATTTTTAGACTGCATTCTAGCCTGAACAATAAAGCAAGACTCCTGTTCTCTCTCCCTCTTTCATTCTTTTTTTTCTTAAAAAAACAAAACAAAACAAAAAAAACAAAAAACTAGAATCTCAAAAACTGCTTTTAAGAGTGTAAATAGGTAATAGCCATTTGGAAAACTGGCAGTTTCTACTAAATTGGAACATACATATACCCTGTGACCAAACAATTCCACTTCTAAGTACATATCCAACAGAAATGTTGCATCTATCCATTGACTGAAATATATGCTAATGAACGTTATTGTGATACTGTTAGTAATACACCAGAATGGGACTTACCCCAGCATTCTCTGCGGTTGGGGGGTGTGAATAGTGACTGGAAGGGTGTCAGTAAAGGTGGAATTTGTTCCTTATGTCTAGTATTTTTGTAATACTACTTTTATAATAAACATAAATCAACTTGGAGCAGTGTTTACAAATGTCATTTCTTACTTGATATGAACGTTTACTTTTAATTTTAAATCTTATCTGAGTCTTCTATAAGTGATCTTAAATGTTCTATGAAGACTACAGTATTGCTTGCCTTTTCACTTTTAACTCAATTCCTTTCTCAGAGCAGCATACAATTATTTAAATATAGGAGGCTCAGCAAAGCACAAGTTACCTGCATTTGCCTTTCAAAATTATCCTAAATCAGGAACAGTCGTTCACACCTATAATCCCAGTGTTCTCGGAGGCTGAGGTGGGAGAATCACTTGAGCTGGGCAATATAGGGAGATCTCAGTTTCTACGAGGGGAAAAAAAAATTAAAGAAACTATAATTGATAATTATTATTATTATTATTATTTATTTATTTTTTTTGAGACGGAGTTTCACTCTTGTTACCCAGGCTGGAGTGCAATGGCGCGATCTCAGCTTACCGCAACCTCCGCCTCCTGGGTTCAGGCAATTCTCCTGCCTCAGCCTCCTGAGTAGCTCAGATTACAGGCATGTGCCTCCATGCCCAGCTACTTTTTTTTGTATTTTTAGTAGAGACGGGGTTTCACCATATTGACCAGGACGGTCTCGATCTCTTGACCTCATGATCCGCCCGCCTCGGCCTCCCAAAGTGCTGGGATTACAGGCTTGAGCCACGGCGCCCGGCCGATTATTATTATTTTTGAGACAGAGTCCCTCTCTGTTGCCAGCTGGAGTGCAGTCGTGTGGTCTCTGCTCACTGCCAGGTTCAAGTGATTCTCCTGCCTCAGCCTCCCCAGTAGCTAGGACTAGGGGCATGCACCACCACGCCCAGCTAATTTTTGTTATTTTTAGTAGAGACGGGGTTTTGCCATGTTGGCCAGGCTGATCTTGACCTTTTGACTTCATGATTTGCCTGCCTCGCCCTCCCAAAGTGCTGGGATTACTGGTGTGAGCCACCACGCCTGGCCCAGTTTTCTTAATTCAAAAGAAGCACCTAATTCAAAATCATAAATGTGGTACAAAAACATGATTTCAAAACTGAAACTCTTTAATGTGTTTTTTTTCTTTTTTAATAGCCACCAACAATGGTAACCAAGACATGTCAGCCTGGTTCAATCTATTTGCAGACTTGGATCCACTTTCAAACCCAGATGCTATCGGACATTCAGATGATGAACTTCTTAATGCTTGACTGAAGTTATAATGTCACTTCAACGGCCTTGAGATATCAATTTTGCAACATATTTCCTTTGTGGAAAGGAGTTTATATTGGAACCCACACACAAAAGCATGGTGTATCTGAATATAACACCTGTCAGCCAACTTTAGACAGATGGTAAAGACCACATTTGAATAGGTTAAGTACATCTTTCATATCTTGGATTTGCAGCTGTTAGTACTATGTGGAAAATATTAGAAACTACGGAGTCTGCGATATTTAGATACTGGAATTTATGTCAAAATAACGGCTAGGAATAATTCTGTCAATATGGAGTTGAGCTTATTTCTTTGGAAACCCTTTTATCTTTAAGTTGCCTTGCTGGCTGTGAGATAAAAATTTTATATGTGGATTAAAAAAAATAGCATGTAAATTGGGTAGTAGTTTGGGGTCAGTTTTTGAATGACATAGTGGCAGGGAGTATTTTCTGTTTTAGAAAATAGCATTAGAACCAGATCAGCTTTGTTTTGGGTTAGAGAGGTAGAATAAGATTTGAGAACTCAGTTTGCTTTAATGAAGTCACAGAGAAACTTGCTACTTGTTTTTTTTTTTTTCATTTGGAGGCTAAAATGTAATTTTTTAAATTCATACAAAATAATGGACACTTTCTAATTCCATTATTAAATCTTCAAGGGGAAGTAGCAGGGTAATTAATTTGCTAAGCCCATCCTCTGTAGAAACAGAAAAATCTATCTTCCCATCTCCTAAACCTCAGAATGTGTAGTAATACTTAAGACTTGGGCAAGTGTCTTCAGACCCACTCTTGCATACACTTGCTATATATTATTATGCTATTATGCAGTATTCATATTATTACTGAAAATAAAATGAGGGGGGGAATATTCCCTAAGCAACTGGCAGTAGTAGTCCTGAAATACCTGGAAATTTCTATCTGAATGAGGAGACACTTATGAACATCTTATTCGTACATCTATTTGTATATTTTGTGACATAATTTAACCCAGAATACTTTCTGGCACAGATACAGAAAGCTCTGTGTGATCAATAAGGGAATGTCTCATTTTTCTACTTCCCTCTTTCTGTGGGTGACATTATCTGAGGCTCTCTTCGATTATTAAAATCTGTTACCCCTACAGGGTTTAGAACCTAAGTATTACAGGGTAAGTCTATTTAATGGAAGTTAGTGTAAGCTCATAAAAACATAGCTACAGTACACACATGTCAATCACTCAATTTCCTGTCCTTTTTCTTAGCCACCCTTTAATTTTGAAGCAGTTTCCCAAGTGTTTTATGTTTGTCATCCAGTCCATTGCATTTCCGTAAGACGTTTTGACTAAGTTATTCACCGTAGTTTCCATGTGCTCTTAGTCCTATTCTAAACATGCTTACTTAGAAGAGAATTGCCTGTGATGTTCAAGTCATGGTATGTATAAAACATTGGACCAGAGTAGGTAAAACATAGTCCACCTCCCATTCACAGTCATCTACAATAGTAACTTCCCACAAGCTCTAAATGGCCAAGGATTGTATAGGCTGGAACAACCTTATCTAAGGGTCAGAAACATCAACTCAGAAAAAAGGTATGAAGTCTTTTCTTAAAATCTTTTCACAATATTATTCCTCATGAGTCATTATTTATTTATCTTTTCAGAAGTACTGTCTTCCTTTATAATCAGTTAAATTTCCCAGAATGCAATACTGTCATTGTTCTGCCAAGTTCCAATAGAAAGATCATGATTATGAATCCCAATCTGAATTCTATACCCATGGTGACTCTGGTGCTCTCAACTTTTGAGTGCCTCAAAAAATGCTAACTTTATGTCTTGAGAGTTTGTACCATTTTTCTTTGCAGTGGTCGCCGTGCTAATGCATTAGTTCTGGGATATTCGTTTATCTCCCTCACATGCATGCAAGGCAGTCCCTATTCTCTGATACAGACAGACACTTTAATGAGCAGGAAAAGCAGAAACCCGAAGTCCATCCTAGGAACACCCTCAGTTTTCCAAAAGCAGAGTTTCTCCCCATTAGAAACTTACAAGGGACTTTTATTATTCAGTTACTAGTTTCTGTAACATTTCTTCTTTCAACAGAGTATATGTTTTCCATTTAACCCAGAGCAACATTAAGTTCCTTAGCAAGTCGTTATAACTTCCGACAAGTCTGCCGGATCACCTGAGGTCAGGAGTTCAAGACCAGCCTGACCAACATGGTGAAACCCCATCTTAAAAAGAAGAAAAAATTAAAAAAAAAAAAAAAAAAAAAAAACTTCCAACAAGTCTAACCACTGTTTTTGAAGAGCATATCAATAACTTTAAGATAAAGGTAACCATATTCATATTTTCTCAAGATTAGTTATTTGAAGCTCAGCAATTCTCTGGTCAGAAAGAGAAATTTTGCTCTATTAAACCAACATTGCTAATATTAAAAACCACCACACTGAAGAAAGGAGGGAAAGGATGGATAAGCACACAATACAGAATGACTGGTTGCTTTTTGTTTCAATCTAGATAATCCATTCAATAAGAAGTAAATTAATTATCCTTAACCAATGGCAGGCTGAGAACAACCCTCAAAATAGGTATTTTAAATGGGGAGAAATATCTGTACTTACTTTATACTGGGTAAGAATGTGTTTGAGCTTTAAAAACACTGGATGAGCTAAACTTTGCCTAGTGTATCTACAACCATGTTTTGGGAGAGTCAGGAATACCAGGGCATAATAAGATCAGATTGGTGTAATTTTGTATTTTTTTGAAATCCTTCATTAAATTGTAGAACATCGATATGATTAGAAACAAACTGTATTTAAATGAAACAGGTTTCAGTATTTGCACACTGAAAAAGTGTTTTGTATTTCAACTATAAATATTTCATGTATCTGTATAGACCATCTAGAAATGTAGAGGTCTTACAGCATTAGAATGAAGGAAGTTTAAATGTGCTCTATTTTTCTGAGCCTCTTTTAATAAAGATTGCAAGATGGCATAAAACAAAAGTTTGTTTCCTGAAGAGCTTAATACAAATATAATTACTGTTTTCCTATTCAAAAACTTGAGTTTTACCTCAAGATCACAATATTAGCAACCTACATTGAATTGATAATATGGTGGGCATGGGAAAATTAAAAAAACTAGGGCAATTAATATCCTTGTTAGGCCAGGGGTGGTGGCTCATACCTGTAATCCCAGCACTTTGGAAGGTCAAGGAGGGCATATCACTTGAAGTCAGGAGTTTGAGACCACCCTGACCAACATAGTGAAACCCTGTCTGTACTAAAAATATAAAAATTAGCCATGCGTGGTGATGGTTGCCTGTAATCTGAGGTACTTGGGAGGCTGAGGCAGGAGAATCACTTGAACCCAGGAGGTAGAGGTTGCAGTGAGCCAAGATCAGGCCACTGCATTCCAGCCTGGGTGACAGAGCGAGATTCTTGTCTTTAAAAAAAAAAAAAAAAAAAAATCCTTGTGAGACTAATTTATTTCACATAGAAGGGAACTATGTAAGATATGGGAAATTACATAATGTATGTTATTTCTATAAGTACTTTCAGTAACAAAAGCTATAAACTATCAAAAATCTGAGCCTAGACACAAACAATTAAATATAAGCCACAGTATGTAATCTTACTTATTGAAGGCAAGAATAAAAAGAGCCAGAATTGATTCAGTTATTTTTGTCTTCCATAGTGTTGGCAGGGCCCTGCATTTCTCTACCTTGAGCAATGAAGCAGTCCCAGAATTTCAGAAAAAAAAATTAGGAAGGAAAAATCACCTTTAAAATATTAATTCAACAGAACTGAAAGCAACAGTAAAGTGTTTAAACATGGCAAACCCTGTGGGACAAGATGAGAAGAAAAATGGTTGGTCAGGATGGGTCACATCCAGAAGACAACATAAACTATTTTTCCATCTTTTCTGTACCATTTAAAAGACTACTGAAGAGTTCAAAACAAACTGTCCTTGGCATTTAAAGTCAAGCCATGGTTCTTCACTCAGTGGTGTAAATCAACCACGATTGGCCAAAGAGTAAATACAAAAAGGAGATGAAGTTGTGACTGGTGTCTTGGGTAAGATTTTGCAATGTATGTTTTTAGATTTGTACTGTATGTTTTAAACTTCTTGTTTTCTTGCTGCCTCAACATCTCCACAAACAAGCTGTGAGCACTTGGCCCAGTGTGATGTGGGTGGCCCCTGCCACAAGTCTCTCTTGCTACCTTGCCCTCACCATGACCTAGTTAACATTTAAATGCACCAGTGAAATTCTCACTTTTTCTTGTGCGCTTCTCCCTAATCTGAAGGCTCCTGCTCATGTCTTAAGGCCTACTCTGCTCCCCACCTGCTTGGCTGAGCTCCTCCCAGGTGACCCCCTCTCAGCATGCAGTGACCATCTCTCTAGGGCCTGTGAGTATAATACAACTTGTTTTCCTGTGTCTCTCCTGTGGTATCTCTTGTGGCTACACCTCACTGACAATCACCTAAAAAAAAAAAAATCACACACAAAAAACATGAAAAAGTTGTTTCTTTTTTCCCCATTTTAAAGCAGTATCTTCTAGAAGAAAAAAATCAGCCATAGCACATCTAGAAATATCCACTATTAACATAGTTTTGCTTATGTTTTTGTAGTGCCTTCAAGCACACACTTGAATTGTGATCCAGATGATTTTACTGTCCTCTCTCTCTAAAATGGGCATACCAAGTCAAAGAGATTTAAAAACCAACTCTCTTAAGTGTTTCTCTCAAAAAAGCCAGATGAATTAAAAAATCCACCAGAAATGTGACTGAAGTTAGTTTTTGCCTCCCTAAAAGATGTGCTCCCCCAATTTTTTGTGCTCCCGAAATTAAAGTATTTTATTTTCTGCAGCTATAGCAACATTAAAAACCTGAGAGTTTAAGAATGTCTGTCACTAACGTCCTTGGTTAGGAGCTGAATAACTAACCAGCTCCTTTCTTTTGACCCTCTGAACTAAGCTGTCAGCAGCTGTAGCAATGAAGAGGATCACAAAGAACAACAAGGCAGTGTGGCCCAATGTCACATCTGCAATGACACTAACATCTTTATTTTATCAGTGTCACTGGTGCAAGCAAAGCAGCAGCAAGACTTCATAATTAACTGAATTCCAAAGTCGGACTTGGTTCAAAGCCAGTTTCTGACATCTCCCAGATGTATGACCATGGAAAAGTTAACCTA